AAAAAGTGATAGGAAAAAGTATATTGTTATATTCAGTACATATTTTGATCTAATTTTTTGTTATTAAAATTTAATAAAATATTAATAATAAAATGAAATAATATAATATATAATTAATTTTTTTATAAATCCATTATATATCAGAACAGCGCCTTATCTCTTTCGGTCTCTTATCTTGAAGAAACCAGGCTATTAGATATTTCATAGCCATTAGTAGTCATAAATCGCATTTTTCATATCATATCGCGATTGTTCGAATATCTGCATACATTTAGCCAGGCATACGCCAGGGAGAGTAAAAATAATGGTGATAAATCCATGATAAATGGCATAATTGAATATCTCGGCATAGAAAAGTAATTAGCAATAAATTCTCGCGGTCTGATGTGGACTCATTTCGATTTCTTTGCCTTAGTGGATAACACCTCCAAATAAGAATTGATACATATTTTATAATATTTTAAAAATAGACAATTTGAGAATTTTATTATGATTTTATTATGATTATGATATAATTTTATTATATGAGAAAGTGAAAACTTTTTTCTATTTTAATCTACAAATTATATTTCTTTATTTTTTTATTTTACAAACATTTATTTTTAGTATATCTCTTCGAATTGTCAATTTCTATTGTTTCACTTCTCTCTTTCTCTACTCCTTTCTCTCTTTCCCTCTCTCTCTCTCTCTCTCTCTCTCTCTCTCTCTTTTTGGAAAAATCGAGAGGTGACAAGAGGAATCTGTGAATTCAACAATCTCTCGCGTGGAGAGAATTTTTTAAATAACTCGATAGGTCAATTCTCGATTCCTGTCGCAAACACGAATGACTCGTTCTATTTTTTACGGTCATGCTCTACCATAGCAATTGAACGATTGTTTTGTTGTATTTCACGATATTCCCCGCGAGCGCGATTCTACGTTAAAAATTGGTCAAAGCCAAATTCTAAATATAGGATGTATTCGTCTCGCGGAAAAAACGAGGGCATCGCGCGTGATAGAACGTACGTGTGATAGAATTGGCTTCGGCCGCGTCGCATCTGTCATCATGTAACTCAAGGAGATTTGTCAAGATTTGGTTCAATGTTGTGTACACGTTATTGCATTCATGAATAGCTGGTTGAAGTTTGGAATGTATCTGGAGCAAATTTTTTCCAAATGATTTTGTGTCTGGCACTTAGAAGTTACTTTGTGCAAAAGTAGAAATGGGACAAATTTTTTTTAGCGTATTTTTTATATATTAGATATTTTTTAAATGATCGGGAGGTTTATCGAGCATAAAGATGCCTTCCGACGCGTGTATTTGATCGAAATATTTTGTATTTTGTTTGTGGCATTTACTCTATGCGAAGCTAGAAATGGGACAAATCATTTTTTTAAAATTGCTCCAAGAACGTTCTAAACTTTAACCAGTTTTATGATATATCGTTGCAGTGAACAAATTGTAGTTGCATATTACGATTACTCGCGATATTCTTTTCTAAGACAAACGGTTGACTTTCGAAGCAAAAATATAGCTTCACATTCTTTTGAAAAATAATTGACACGTTTAAAGACGGCAACGACGAAGTTCCATGATACAATTTTTGTAATACAATTTAAATGCAGTAATTTACGTTGGAATATTTCAATACACTAGCGTACGTGAATGCATTGGCCAACAGGGTGTAAGGAAAACTGGCCATAACCGGCGCCATAGGGGTTATAGTCGATTACAGTTCGCGCCGCGCGAAGAAAATGGGAGGCGGAGGGACATATATCAGTGGCGTGAAACAATTTCGATATTTGCGGTATGCAATGGCGATGCGGTTTATGGGCGCAATTCGAAGTGCCATTGTGTGCACCGCAGCTTTGTATTTTCGCCTCTTTCGTCGTGTCTCTTCGTCTGCGGGAGTCTACATTCCAACCAAGCCATACATCGCGATATATGTATACCATATACAAGGCACAAAGAAAACGACATTATTAAATTGCTGTATGTGGTTGCGATATATGTCTATCGTTAATTTATTGTAAATTTATTTGAAATAATTTTTATGCAAAATGTGGATTTTAATACATTGATAAATTTATATCGTTAGAATGAATGTTCTATACGTAATTAAATTAATGAACCTTTCAGATCGATAATTTTGCTTTTCAATAATGCCTTAAATGTATTTTTGTATCTCGCAATCGCTTTTCCTAGGAATAAATATTTTATTGAACTTTGTTCAGCAATAGTTATTTTTTTTTATTTTTGTCTAGTATATAGTCGGAATTTTTTTAAATATTTTTAATACTCTGAATAGATAAATATATGAAATTTTTATCTTTATAACTTTGTATTTTTTTTTTAAACTAAAATGAATATTTACTATTGTCACCTTTTCTCTGACGATTCACAGTAGTTTTTTTACATCGAATGATTGTGTACGTGAACGTCCATCAAAGTTGAGCGTGACAATATTGTCCACTCAAACAGCGTTTTATCACGGGAATGAAATCTTTCACAGTGATACTTTGCGTAGAGGGATCGGTTTTCAGCCAAGCATTTTCGATCTCTGGCGAGCTGATTGTGAGTCTAGATGAATCAGAAACAATAAATCTGTCTTTTGCCAAACGTTCCGCCACCATTGTATTCGTACGATTAAATATCCTCCTGAAACTGAATTTCAAATAATCCCCGGCGTCGAATCACAATTATGTCTATTCATGACTCTTAATTTACGCACTTTCACGTTTCTGCAAGCATCATGCAGAACGGATCATAATCTTGCAATTTAAGCTACATTCTGTATCTTAAAACGTAGGTAATCTATAATTTTCGTTAGAGATTTTAGAGAATAAAATTCTATTTATAATATTGCAGCGTTTATTTTATATAGTATATGTGTTTTTATATATTTTATACATGTCTCTTTTATATCTTTCATTCCTTAAACATATTCCATATCACATAAATATGTCACATAAAATTAGAAATATAATTTTTCTGAAATAAATTACAGATTGTTTATGTGTGTAAATTAATTTAAAATGAAAATTATTATTAGTTGTTTTACAAGCTTCACGCAGTAACAAGTCTATCTTTGATGTAATTATCTAAAAATCTTTTTTTTTTCTTAAGCAAGTACCACTAAATTAAATACAAAATTACTATCGTTCATTTGAAAATCTGTCAAGCTTAAATTTACACGCGTACTACTCGTTCTTCTGAAGCGGTGTAAAGTGCCGCGACAAATTCTGTTAGCCCGGGGCGTCCAGTGGCCTCAAAGTGACCCTGCGTTTGGTACGAACGCCTTTTAGCAACGCAGTGCTATCCTCGCAAATTGAAATTCCCATCAAATCGTCAAAGTAATGTGACGTACCGTATACCCTTCAGCAAAGAGGCACAGAAATAGTGAGTAGCCGCATTTCATCGAAAATCAGCCGTTGAATTCGATTTGATTCCCGTATATCCGTTCGGACGATACACGAAAGAATGCAATATATAGACGGTATTAGAGATTGAAAACTTTTATATCGAAATGAATCGTTATCAAGGCCTCAGATGCCTCTCGTCCGTTCGGAGAATGGCGCGCAATAATTTTTGAGAGATTACTCCGTTATATCCGCCAGCATCAAGCTTTTCGATTCATAAATCGTCGACAAGATACGCCATTGCACTATGAATACAACTGTCTGAGTATTCAGCAACCTTTTCAGAATATTCCTTATGGAATCTCGCGACGATAATAAATGCATTTGAGTAGCGTAGAGTCGCGGAGAAGGAGAAGAAGCTCTCATTGATCAGACCGAAAATATTTTCGTTTTTCTTATGATTAATCGATTGCAGATTTAATCACGTGTATACAGAGCATAATAATAATTAAGTAACATCACACACATTGTTTAATAATTAATTTAATTATTAGGTGGCAAAAGCTTTCCTAATGTTTAAGTATTAAATATACAATACGCCTTTAACATTATAATTTATATTATTTGTCTGCTGTAACCGCGAAACAGGAAGTCATTAACAATTGTGAATGTAAATTTGCGGTCGAACTTACGATGATGTTTTGATCCATGTGATTGGATCACTAAATTTTGTATCGACGGAAGCATTGGTTCTCTAATCGTGCAACCGACCGCTACTTTGCTATTAAATTTTTCGTGAACATTACAAACGGCTACGCTTCTACCACCATAGCATTTGATTATTTTTATCGGCGATAATTAACTTTCTTCATTGAAGCAACGAGCGAGAAAAACTTATTACTTTTCGATGATCATTGCGCATCAGCATTATTTACAATCAACATTATGGCTTTGATAAATCGTATTTCGATAAGAGTCTTTCTCTATGAGCAATTATTTTATCTGAAAATATTGTGTCAATTTCATTATTATTAAAAACTAATTGACAATTATCAATTGTTTAGTAATTATAATAACTAATATATATAAAAATTATATATGTAATATATATATATATAATTTTTTTTAGAATTATGTATAAAAAATTACGTGTTGAGAAAATGGGGGCTTAATACACAAAATATTAATTATATTATATTATTATCTAATAATACTGATTATCTACTTATCTACATTAAAACAGTTAAACTAATTTTCAAACAATCAAATAGAGCCGTAAAGTGCACTGCGGTGTACAACGTAGCATAACGTAATATAATAACAAGAAAGTTCTCTCTGTACGTAAACATTGAACTGAGTTAAACGCAATGTTGTCGTAAGATAATGTTAGAGCGACTCGCCCAAGTCCTGAAGGAAACGCACCGGGCTAGGGCACTAAGGAGAGTACGTCGGGAATTTGAGAGGATGCTCTCATCCCGCGACCGTGTTAGGAGATTGCTTTCCACTGTGCTATATGCTGCATCCGACGTAAATTAGAATACTGCGGTGACGCAACCGCGAGCGTGAGCACGCGCGGGTATTACCGGCGTATTAGTGTGCCGCACGGCTCCGCAACCGGTTTGATCCAATTTAATGTTCCGCATGCTCTCCTTGGGTTTCAGATCTGGACACGATGCTGTACGGATACACGAACAGCATATACGTGCTGGACCACACGCCTGAATCCTTGCCGGTGAGTACAATTCGGCATGTAATGGGCCACTTAGGTACAGCTGTTATTGTGATCCGGGGTCACTTTCTCACTGTTAAAAATGTTCGGAAAATTCCCACAGAAATTTCTAACAGTGCTTCTATGAATCATACCTCGACTACAATCATATACAGTTATTTGTATATTTGTCTCGTATTATAATACGTATATAATATATTACGCGCTGACCGCGTGTTTTCAAGCGAATTTTCTGCGAAAATTATTAGGATAATAAAAGCGATGACGGAAAATAGTAAATTGCACTTACAATTAGCTTCTTAATTATAGAATATATAATTTACATGAATAGTGAATATCACGAATACGTGCTGTATTCGGATTCAATAGCGTTCTTACTTGATTATCAAGAGGCTGTTGCCGCTTAACTTAAATACGCGCATATTTGAAGAGAATTAATGCGACAAACAAGTCATTACCAACGCGCGCAATATAATATGTAATCAAGCCGTTAACCGCAAAACGTTGCTGCAGAATGCATCGTGTAGTGTAACTATTATCGTCGTAATCGCGTAGAGTCGTTGAAGTGGTAAACTGGCTAAATAATGGCGATAACGTAAACGTATATATATTATAGGAATAATTCAAACTGGTTTATACTAGTATTACTCTTATCTGATTAGATTGATCGCATATATCGCGATAAAAACTGATTATTTGGATGCGATAATTTGAATATACGTGTAATTCGGGAAAATTCAGCCCTCCGTGCACAAAATAAGCAATTATCCGATACCATTATTTTACGTTCTAATGGATTTACGATTCTCGATTAGACCCATCAATTATTGCTATAATTGCATAGCCAAACTCCGCGCTGCTCGATGCATAATAACACATAGATCCCAATCATGATAACCGATTAATTGAATATTCGTAATGTAATTAATCAAACAATCGTATAACTGTAATTTGCGAGAGTCAGGCTAGTTCTCGCGAACAATGGCGATAGTTAATTTAATTGCTATTCATTAAACTAAATTTTCATTAAATTTGACGTGGAAAAAAGGACATGTGCCGACTTGGGTACCAATTAAATTGAAATAGCGGACTTTGAATTTCAATACTGTTAATGCGTAGGTACGATAAACAACCGCGAATTTTATCTATATATCTGCATGCCAAAGCATTTGCTGGCAAATAATTTAGCAGATATAGATAAAATAGATTATTGTTATTAAATAATGCTCCAGAACAGTTTGCGTAGTACAAATACACGTAAATCCGTGTAGATCGCATCCATCAGATTGGTTTGCACGCGCTCGTGTAGTTGTTCATAGATAATGTTAATCGCCGTAATGCATATGGAGTAGGAACCGTTACAATAAATAAACGCATAATTAACTGCTACATAATTGTTATTGTTAAATTAGTATTCATTGTCGGACATAAAAGCTTTTGCGATTATTTGGGTAACGAATAAATTAATATATAACATGAGTAAGTTATCACTTTATCAGATGTATTATTTTAAAAATAAAATTTCTATAATATGAATTACATAGCATAGATGAATTATTCTTATAAATAAAATTATCTGCAATATGAATTACATAGCTTATTATAATAATTTATACAAGATTCCTGTGAAATATATGATAAGAGGGATGTATTATGAGACGAAGAAAACGTGGTATCCTTCGGAATTTTTTTTTTATTCACCATCGAGCTCGACATTTATCAAGATCAATTTTAATATACCATCCTTAAATCCAGCTCTTAAAAATCATTTAATCATGCAGACAGAATATTAACGGATCGTTAAAACATTACCGATGTGACATTTTATATATAGCGCGTTGTAATATAGCCTTTGGCAAACAATCGTCATAATAATTACAGCAGGAATGATGCCTGTACTATAACCGCAATCGCGTTCGACGAACGACAGCGCAAACGCGCATTCATGAACATATAAATTAATACGAAGTCGATCTGCACAATGATGTACCACCGATATGTTATTACTCGAATAATCTGTCAGAGCATAATTTCGCGAACACGATCGTAATACGTTTGGGAGTGTGCCCCGCAGATGTTGCAAAGTATCGGCTAAGCGTGACACGGTAATTAATGCGGGAAGCATTTTGTTCTCGGTGAAAGTGCATTCGTTTGTACTCACGCACCAGCTTTAGTAATTTCGTTTAATAATTTGCATTAGTGCGAAATCGGTGGCGCGACGCGAATGTGTGTAGCGCTCTCGAGCGATTTCCTGCAATTATTTGGACGTCGCGTATCGCATGCGACAATGACGAAAAAAAAAGAAGAGAAGTAGACGAGATGGAACGGCTCGCAATTCACGGTACACGATGCGCTTATCGAAGCGCGAAAAAATGCATTAATTAAACGAATGTCGCCTGCGTCAATTAAAGCCCTTTTTTTATGCACCGTTGCGCGCGTTGTTTTTACGCGTTTTACGAAAATAGATCAAAAATAGAATTGATCTCTGCCTCAGTCGTCGTCACGAGTCTATGTTTGCGTCAGATGTATGTATGCTTTATGCATCAAGTGCTTCATAGGTACAGATTTACGATTTTATTTCCTTCAATTGGAACATGATGATACATGTTAGCTGTTCTATTACAGTAAGAACAGGTTTAACGATATATTCCAATCAATTATTACAGACGCAAATGGAGTTCTTTACGGAAATTCCTTCGCATAAATTATTGTTAACGATTCAGCGCGGAACATCCGCGGATAATAATGCGCCTCTCCCATTCGTACGTGACAATTATCGCTTCCGTGGAATACAAAGAAGCGGGATCACCGTCGCCGCGGGCGAAACGCGTGCTCGGTCCGAGGGGGGCTTAATAAAAATCCCAGTTTCAATAAAAGCAGATTTTACCATGGGCATTACTCTCTCTGTTTAATCTGACCGCATAAAGCGCGCGATATCACCTCGCGCGCCGGTATTAATCCTCGCCGGCTAAACATCCCTGGCGAACAATGTTCTCCTATTACCCGCCCATCGGTACGATGAAACCGACATAATTATCCTGTTTCGCAAATCGTCCCGCGTGTCCTTCCCGTTTATAGCGGCGCTCGTGACCTTTTCTCCCCCCCCCTCTCCCCTCTTCCTCCCTCCGTTCTCACCCTTTATCGAAAGTTTCCTATGGAGCGTCTGTCGGTATTAATTAACTTAATTAGATGGGTTCTCTTCATTAACAGCCGCTTCTCGATGGTTCCTGTTGACAAGGGGGTTACAAGGGGGATTAACAACACGGGCGAACACTCGCCCTCCCGGACGATCAAAATGCAGCTGGATATTATCGCTGATATTCTCTGGCGAGAGAGTGATAAACGATAATTCCAAAGGAAGGATCGGGAAAACGCCCGCGAGCATGTATGCGTTCATACGACGATGCATATTTGCTGTTTAATGACGCTGAGTTGCACTGGAAATATTTAATATCCGCACACAGAAGGGAATTAAATCGCAAAATAATGCTACATTAAACGCGTTTCATAAATCCATAAATTCTGCAAACGCTAACGATAGCTTTGTGCGATATGTAACGTTGATAAATCGATATCGATTCGGTATTTTGAAAATTGATGCACATTAACGGGAAGGAAACGTTATTGTAAAGCTATTTTTGTTAATATGAGCTCACTGATATCGCTTCCATTATCGCTATCTTCGCATTTTCAGTTTAACGAGTAGCACTGATTAACACAGGAACATTTTTTTCTCTGCTAAATCGCTTTGTAAATTAAAAAAAATTTTCTTTATAAAAGTATATTTACTGAATGACAATAATAACAGTTATACAATAAGAACTAACTGAATTAACATTCAACTGTTGTATTGTAAATTAATTCTGATCGATAAAGCCAGGAAATCGCTCTACTTTCTAGCTCTTTCTTGCTTTCTTTCCTCGATTAAAATTAACATAATTCCTGATTCATGGATTGATCCAAGTGCAAGCAATTGGAACGATTTGTGAACGATTAAGTTAACTCAGTGTGTGTAAATTGGATCGGTCCACCGTTATAATCTACTTATTACTTGCAATACCCTTGATTTATCCGATTTTCCGCCGGTTCGCCGATAAACTATGCTTACGTCCAATCAATATTTGAGGCTAATTATCCAAAGCATACTGAAATTCAATTTTCAATTTCAGTGTATGGAGGTTTGATAGATTTATAACGGTATAAAGTATTTCTTAGATCAATAATTTACATTGTCGATAAAAGTCGCCGAGTAATATAAAAATAACAAGATTCTTATTGACAAGAGAATTTGGGGCAGGAAAGAAATTGAAAACATCTTAAGAAACGTCCTAAAAAAGACGTACGTTTTCTTCGCTATGCACTATTTTTTTCTATTTGTAAAAAATTACATTAATTTAATACAATCTACGAATTCGTCCAAGTTGAATATCATTTCACTCGATCTTGTGAGAATTGGAGCAGAAGAATTTAAAAGCATCTTAAAAAAAGACGTACATTTTTTTTCTCAGATACGAGAAATGTGTTACCTATTTTTGAATTTATATAATTATCTCAATAATAGTCTGCGGAGCCAAATGGGGTAAAATATTTCTCCACGCGATTTCGTGCGAGAAGAAGTATAATGGATAATATATCTTGAGAGGGCTATAGCTCGCTGTACATTTTTCAACATCAAGTAAAAATTATTTCTTTCCCCACTACATAAACTCCCTCCGCAAAATCCGGTTCCTCGCGGCAAAAAGTCTTCGTCAGTCGTTCTATCCAAGTCCGCCCTTTCGACCGGGTTATCTATCAGCGTTGAAGGATTCGAGAAAAGTTCGCGCGCAGCTGAAAACACCGAGACCGACGGGGGGATATGCGTCCCGTGGGATCGTGCCTGGGATACTGTCTTTCCCTTGTACACATCGAATCAGCTTGGCGCTTGTTATCGCCCACCATTTGATCTCTTTGCCATTTTCCATCTACCTCTTTTGTTCGTCGTCGGCCGTCCTGAAGATGACGTTCGCTCCAGGCGCCGCCCTTGAATGTGATAAAGATCGCGCCCTCGCGCTGCTCGGGAAAGAGAAATGGCCACGGCCGAGGAGAAAGTTTTTGTTTCCCCAAGATATAATCGCTCAGGGCGCGGCGACTCGCGCAGAATTGATCGGTCGCGATGAAGGGTTAAGAGCGTTGCTTTCATTCCTCTTCCCCCATATTGGCTAACATCGGAGATAAGAAGAGATCGGAACTTTGAGCGCTCATAAAAGGATTGTTAGCTTTAAAACTGTTTAAATCATTTAAAAATGACGATTTTGTAGTTTTAATCTACGTATAAAAAGTTACAACAATATGTCGATCATAATCAGTTCTTTCTTTAATCAGTAAATTTTCGCGAATATGCTAAATATTGAAATATTTATCGCGCAAATCAATAGTATTTTGACAATTATAGTTTTAACTTTACAGTAAACATAATTTATATTTATTATTGTAAAAATTTATTATTTTGCACGATTAATGAAATGCATACTTATAAATAAATAAGGTGTATCTCTCTGCTTTCTAGCATTAAGATGTGATATTAACACATTTCAAACGAATATATTTTAAATTAAATTATGATTCCGCCGGAAGGCGGTACAAACAACGCTAAATGATAATTGTATGCCTTTATTGAAGTTTCTCGTGACAGCAAATGTATCGACGATCTCGTTAAAGTTGCACTAATAGCATCTCTCTCAGGCTCTACACAACGCGAGGACAAAGATGCATTTCCTACTGACAAAGGAGTCGCTCGAATGACTCTCTCGAGTGTGTTTCGCCATGAGCTTGCCAGCAAAAGGCAATTCGAGCTGGATTATTATTATTAATCGAAGTATAATATATCGAATACTAGCTGCTCTCAGAACTATTAAATTAAATTTATAAAATTTATATTTAGAGAGTGTGTTATTTTAATCATATATCTGTTGTATATTTATAATTTTCTATAAATCTGTAATATTTATCTGTATAATATTTAAATTAAAATGGAATTTTAAAATAATATATATAAAATAATATAAATAAATTTTTAGGGAGTATGTAAAATAATATAATTAAATTTATATATAGAGAAACAGATTTAAAATATATTAAATTATAAATATCTACAACTATGTGCTCTGTTGACATATTCTTTAAGATTTTTCGTGCTCTTCCGATGATACAATTCTTGTAATTGACATTAACTCAATCGATTTAATTAGATAATTTACAATTGTAAGTTTATTTAATTAATGATGATAGTATTATTACAAGAATTTATAACGTTGTCCTGTTCTTGGGCGTACTTTCTGCGATATTGAATAAAATAAGATCGTTTAACGAATTCCGAGTTGCGCCGAATGCAGCGTCCTGCTGGATTTTACAGGGACTCCCATTTTCCTTTTTACTCTTCGTAAGTTGGGGTACATTAAGCGAAGAGCTTAAGCTGTGCTTTGGTCGTGCTCGTAGACGAAGCTGCACTCGCCAAAAGTGTATCTTGCATTTTCGGCGAGAGTTCACAATGTTGCAGCAGCTCCGCGAGCGGCGATCTGCGCAGTGAAAATGCTTTTGAAACCGCCGCCGTCGCTGCCTCGTTCCGGTTTCGCTGATCGTAACTAGTTTCGATGAGATTTTCAGCGAAACTCGAGGAAAAGTCCCACCGACGAAAATACGAGTAAGCAAGCATTCGAGCTAGCTAGATAATGGCGGAAAGCGCCGAAGCAAGTCGACGTAATTACGGTTTTCCCGACTGTACGGACGAGAACGGTATCTGCACGCACGAGTTGCGAAGTTTCGCAAAAGTGGAAAATTGTTCACGCCCCAAGATTGGGG